CTAAACCCATTTGGAAGCTGTTAGGACTTTAGTTTGCCTATAACGTGGTCAAGGAGCGGATACACAGTACTCCGTGCATCAAAAGGTTCGGGCGGAGGAGGAAAGAAGCAAAACAGCAGGGAGACCTGCATGGGGAGGGACGACCAGGGCCTGTTTAACTTAAGGGGCTCCGGAGTTGAATACGGGTTTCAAGGATAGCCAAAGTCTACCGCTTCCATCAGAGGACATGCGACATACGATCCGAGGACCAGAAGAAAGTGCAAAACGGTATGGGATATCAGAACGATGCCAGCCTCGCGTCCACAATACAGTGTCGTTCGAATCCGATATGTGGTGAGACGTTCCATCAGGCTTTCCAGAGCCTTGTCTCCAGAGATGCGGGAAAAGTTGCCCTGAGAATATCCCTCCTCCTGGATGCCGAGCAGCGGTGGTGAAGGTAGCACCAGAGGAGATGGGGGGCACATGTCGACGCCATTGTCGGCCCCTGGATGCCATACTGCGAGGGCCAGGGACAAATGTGCTCGAGTGCTAAAATTGGAGAGAGATTGCAGGCGGCCCTGCTAGTGCTCGGAGGGCTGCGACTCCAACGGGCTAGATCCGTAATTCTCGATACATACTCCGTACAGAACGCCGGCTGCTTGAGACCGCCTGCAGGTGGGCGTCTCGTGGCAGTTCACCACTCGGACGGTGCTTCGAGTCGTACTGTAGCTCCGTGCCAGCAGCATCACCACCACCGCGTTCCCGCCCGTCGACAGACGAGCTCAATGGCAGTATCGAACCAGAACCGAGATTCTGAGACATTTTCTGCTCGAAGCACGAACCATTAATACTTCCTTGCAGCATCAGGAGCCACACGGGAAGCTGTCGACGGCGACTTCATGGCCGTTCGACTCGACTCGTGGTCTACAGTAGAGCAGGTACACAGAACTCAGAGCGGACAACATCGGAGGCAAGATTCGTTGCCGAGCGTGCTCCTCCCGAGAGTCTTGCGCTCTGAACCGGGACGGATGATAGCTATGTAACGATCGAAATGTCCGCGGCCTGCACACGGTTCCAGGGTTGATAGTCCTTGCGTCTGTCGCTTTCGCAACATGTCGCCCTCTGCTCAACTGGAGACGCGTTTTTGCCCCCTTCTCGCTCACTACTGCCTGCTGTCCCCAAGGAGCGGCGGCTGGAACGAGGCGAATGTCCGGTTGACGGGGCGAAACCTCGCCATCTATCCAAGAATATGAGCCAGAATCGCACTTCTTGCTCTTTCGATTGATTTTTTTTCCGTTGCGCGTACTCGTGCTTCCATGGCATGTACTGGGTATATTCAAGTACCAGCGGTCAGACTCGGATGGCCCGATAACGCCCACACGATAAGGGAAGCCCCTCCACTCCCCTCCGACGCGACGGCCCCTCCATGGCCTGCCCCTCATCTCAACAACTTTCACAGTGTCCTTCACCGCCTCGACATGACGGGTTGGCGTGCACAGGACTTGACTGGTCTGTTCTGCTCCCATTGCCAACCCATTGGTGAGGCGGGCACGAGCGGGCAGTCCAGCCCTCCCAAGATCCTGCCGACTCACCGACATGGCATCTTCTGACAATCTATCGTAGCGGTAGTCGCGGTGCGCCAGTCGCACTCCGAGCTAGTGGCGGGAGAGAGAAAGAGCCACCACACAAACTCTCCTCTTACATCCCCCTTTTATATCGTGTGTTGACAACTGTTTTCTTTTCCTGCTTTTGGCGGTCAGTGCATCAACATCCCGTGTATTTCCATCGTCCTTCGCCGTTTCTCCAATCACTTAACTTTCGGTTGTCCATCATTCACTTGTCCGTCACTCCATCGTTACCTCTCTCTCAGCCCTCTCTCCGTGCCACCTCACCTCGTGCCTACCCCCGCAACATCACTCACCATGAGCGGCAAGGCACAGATCCGCCTCGACGGCAAGGTCGCCCTCATCACCGGTGCTGGTCGCGGCCTCGGTGCTGGTCTGGCGAAGACCCTCGCTGAGCGTGGCGCTGCCGTTGTCATCAACTATGCCAGCTCCGCCAAGCCGGCCCTAGCCACCGTGGCCGAAATCGAAAAGGAAGGCGGCAAGGCAGTTGCCATTCAAGCCAACATCTCCAAGACGCCCGAGGTCACCAAGCTCTTCGAGGAGGCCATCAAGGCCTTTGGCAAGCGTAAGTCAAGTGGGAGCCGTCGAACGGTCGGGATGGCGTGCTAACCGTCGAAGTCGACATCGTCATCAACAACGCCGGCATGGAAGCTTTCTCCAAGCCCGAAGATGTCACCGAGGAGCTGTATGACCAGGTGTTCGGTCTCAACACTCGTGCCCAATTCTTCGTCGGTCAACATGCTCTGAAATATCTCAGCGGTAAGCGGCGACCGGTCCGAGTCCGCGGTCTGTTCGACTGATGACGTTATCCTTCAGACGGTGGCCGTATCATCTTCATGTCATCCATCGCTGCCCGCATAGGTGTCCCTAACCACGCTTTGTACGCTGGTTCCAAGTCGGCTGTCGAGGGGTTCGCTCGCTCCTTCGCGGCCGATGGTGGTCCCCGCCGCATCACCGCCAACGCCATCGCACCCGGTGGTATCAAGACCGACATGTTCGCTCAGAACGCATGGCACTACTCTCCTGGCGCGACCAAAGATACTCCTATCGAGACGATCGAGGCCGGTATCGCCAAGCTCATCCCTCTCGGCCGATGTGCTGTCCCCGACGACATCGCCAAGGTCGTCATGTTCCTGTGCCATCCTGACAGCGAATGGATCAACGGTGAGTTCATTGGTGATGGACGTTCGGGATCGTGTCTGACAACCGATCTTTCCAGGTCAAATCATCACCCTCACTGGTGGCAGCGGTATTGCCTAAACGGGCCACTCCGCTATACCGGTTGTTGCCCATGATGGGCTTTCTTCAGTGCATTTTGTGGCTTCCAAAAGCGTGGCTTGAAAGAGTACAAAAGTTCTTTTGGTCTAGCAAAATCGGGTTGATAGAAACGCCTCTCTCCTGGGTTGGGTGATGGGCATGCAGCAATTGGTGCATCGGGGCGAACCAACAGGTAGATACGAGACAAGACCAACGTTGGACACGAAGTAGATTTTATGCCTTCGAACTCCTGAAACGACTTACGCAGAGCTCGGCTCACCTGTCTGACTCTTTGGTGCAAAAAAGCGTGACCATCACCCCTGTCAACTGAACGTCCCAGGCCCACGAGGTACAATGCGGAGTGTAGAATACTGTACAGAATGATGCATACCCCGTCAGTACATGGATAATCCACCTCGTCGTGCATCACTCGCCCCGAGAATTGCCACTCACTGATGCTTTGGAACAAGCGTCCGGACAATGCTCAAAACCGTCAAATATGTGTCTTCCACTCCGGATGCTACCAGGCCAAAAGCGTCAACGACGGCGCCTCGCAACTCCGACTCGCCGACCTCATGCAGCTTTCTTCACTTCGGCATCATTACGGCGTCCTGGGTACCATACGGAGTACCCATCAAACTGCTACGGATATCCTGGTGCACGGAGCTTTCGAACCTCGCGACTTCTCGCTGCTGCGGAGCGCACACACTCGTTTGGAAAATCCGTCCCGGAGCACTGACTGACAACTGCTTGCAACTACAGTAGTATGAGCTTTAGACGGTAGTCCTGGCCCCATCCAGTGTTCCATTCTTCGATCAATCAGAACGAAATTCAGGGCTCTCGTGGGATGTTCATCCGGACCAAGCTGCCCGTGAGAGGAAGACGAATGGACAATAAGTGTCTTTCCAGCAGCCAGCTCGATGTCCAGATTGGTCTGCTGTATTGGGACTTCGGACCCAGCAATGCACTCGCGACCGAGTCGAAATGGTGAATACACTATACGACATAGTCGAAATTGGTCTTCACAAAGCACGACTACCTGCTCCTTTCTCCCCGATACGAACAACGCCCTCTTGTCGTGGTCACTCTCTTCCCATTACCGCTTTGAAAGAGTTGAGACCGTGCACTTGACATCTACCAATTGATTCGACTAGTGCCGAGGTCCGCAGGTCGAAAGTACAATGAAGTCTGGAGCGCGACTGTCGAACCAGAACAGGACCTACCATTTATGATCTATCAGGGTGGGCGTGCAGGATTACGCGAAGGTAACATTTCGCAGGCAGAAAAGTCTGTCTTCCCGCTAACCAAGGCCTCTGTTGGTGTTGATCAGCTTCGAGCCCAAATGAGGCCTTGGAGATTCAGAAGATCTCGCCAAACGTGAATATGGCCGTCCCACTCACAATCAGCGATCCTGCGGCTTCGGCAATCGAAGATTCAGCCTCACCGACGGCATCGCCACAGATAGGAACAAAGCGACGATAAAGGAGAACAAGTTCGAGACCGAGGAAGACGCCCGTTCTCATTGTGTAAACACCGAGCTCTTTGTTGTCGTGATCACTATGGGACAAATTCAACTTTGTCTCGGGGGTATAATGACCGCATTGTATCGACTCAGACTCCATGCTCGACTGCCCAAGGGCACCATAACAAAGAGCCTGGCAAGCAGACCAAGTTGTGAACAGACATAAAATTCGCCTGGGTGACCGAGGCTTGGGCGATCTGTCAACACACTCTCCAACCCGGAAATCAGCTGGAATGAGAGACTGATCAGACCGCAGACAAGTTTCTCCTGGTCCTCAACTTCGCCCTGCCAGAAGGTATTGGGCTAGGGAAATGGCCGATCAAGTGAACAAGAAATCCTCATTCGCGGCCCTTCGAAAATGGTATGATAAACGATGTAGGTCCGTGGGTCGAAATGTGCAGAGTGAGTCGCAACATTCAGCTACTCGGATCCAGGACTTTCTCTCTTATCAACCTGGTGCAGAATATCGGCAAACCGTCCAACGCAAACCACGAGTAGAGTCGGACCTTCACGAAGAGGCACAACGCAAATCTCACCACCTTGAGTTCTGCCACGGTCGGAGCGAGCTAGACTCCACCCCTCCTCGACCATCCGTTTCGACCGTCTCTTTGCCCTCCATGTTCGCAACGGGTTCGACTGCCGGAGTTGCCCAGCAGCCTGCACGGCCATTCCAATCACTGCCTCGTCCTCGGCCTCGAGCGCGACCTGTGGTCGAGGGACCAGAAGACTTTGAACAATTTCGATCGGACTTGTGTGGCCGCGTCGAGCTGGAGTCAACCGCGGCCCAGGCACAGAAGCAACCTCGTGCTCAACCCAAATCATTCACCATCGATCTGACTCAGGCTCGATTGGCAAAAGAGCAGCTCCATGCGGGTCCCAAAGCCAAAGCCTTCAAGGCGTTCTCCGGCAAACCGGTTGAGAATGGTATAGAGAAGATTCAGGCATATCAGGGAGTGCCCAAGCGAAAACCTGTAGGTTACATTCCTCCTGCCCTCCAGCCTGGCTATGTGAATGGAGTTCCACCTGTTCTACGTGCTTGCCACAGCACAACTAATCTGGCTCTACCACTGAACAAGCCCGGCGAAACCGCAGCTCCGGCTACGACCAAGAACTACAATTACCCCCTTGTGGACTTTCACCAGGGACTTTTCGTCAATGCTAATCTTTCCCAGGCGAGCATCTCCTCACGTTACCAAGACCCTCGCATCCCCGCCATGGAGTTCGCAAGCCGGGGACTCGCTGATGAAGTGAACGCCGAGCTCGCCCGATTGCGCGTCCCCGATGAGAAAGAGGTTATTCGACCAAAGATTGGTGTTCCAGACGAGAAGGAGGTTGTCCGACCCAAGTCTCGTGCGTGGATGTCACCGGGATCTCCCCTCAACCAGAATGCTTACGAACTGGAGGCATCCGCTCCCGGTTTCCCCATTCTGCAGGCCAAAGCTGTCAATGTTCGTTCCCACACACCACGAATCGTGAGAGTGACAAAGCGGCAAGAGTTCGAAACAGCTAGCCCTGTTTCTCCGCTGTCGAGCGATGCTGGCAAGATCAACTTCAGAGAGTACAATTGGCCTCGGTTCGTCGACAAGGAATTCGTCGATCCTGCCGAGGAGCATTCGCGTCGGTACCGATATCGACGCCGGGAGGTTCTGAAAGAGAGGGACCGCTCTCCAGACTGAACATTGAAGACAAGGGATACATGAGGACGGGAATGGCTGGTTCATTCCTTGTTCAGAGGTAAGTTTGATTGCTTACCTGGTTTACTTTGTCACGAGCACGCGGGCTGGTCCTTGGGCGGTCGGATCGGCCTTGGTTGTGTTGGTAATGGCATCAGTAATAATGATAATAATGGTAGTAGCATGGTGTCGACGATGGCGTTCTTCACTTGTGCAGGTCATGTGTCCTGCTGTATTTCTTCTGTTTCTTTGTCCCATGACACGATCTGATATTGGTGGGCCGACGCTCGGCGATAGACCGGATTTCCAGATTGGAACCTCCGAGCCGTCAGAATTGCGGTCAGGATCAGTGGCCCACAGGACAACGGCGTCGTCCCACCGAATGTCTCTCATCGCATCACGGGCATGTGAAAGCGATGCACGTGAAGGCGGGGCCGAGAACTCTGCTCGGGGTGATGATGCCGAGGGCGATTGAATGCCTGCAGAGTGCTGGCGAGCTGCTTCGTTGCACCTTTAGACGACGGTGCGAGTGTCGTGTAGTGTACTGGAAGTTGTATCCAGAGGACTACCAAAGACATTTGACCTGTCATCGAAGGGACCCATTTCGAGGCACGGCTGTACCCAGTAACTGGCAGCATGCCTCACAGAGAGCTCTAGGCCTTCGGGGTGCTCCCTTAGGCCCCAAACCACAGACCTCGGCATGCCTAGAGGAGCCGTGGGAGCCCAATCTCAATGTCCATGGCGGAAAGGATTCAGCCTCAGGCACGGTCGAGTCACTCCAACGCCCATCATTTCCCGATACTGTGTTGCGACTTCCGATTCCTCGATTCCGTGTCTGATGGACTTCACACTGTGTTTCCATTGTGGTACCCCCACACTGCGCTGATCATAGCCACGACCTTTCATGCCTTTATCGATACGATCGATACGCGCTCGATAGGCTATTGTGCCGACCAGCTCGCTCGGAACGGCAATCAGATTCGACGTCGAGGGCCACTTCCTTTGTCCCCAGTTCCGCTTTCGTCGACTCTTATTAGGCTGTAAAGAGAGCGAAAGTCAATCCGAGGTAACCTTGGGCGGACACTCAGCTCTTCGCTAACTTTGACTGCTTTCTGACGCCAATCAGTGGCACTGAGTCAGCCCGCCATGATCATATTTCACCCGCTCGGTCACAAGTACTTGTACCGTCGCTGCCCCGTCCAGCTTGAACGCATGTACCTCGTCTGCGCCCGGCCTCTTTCGCCTCCGGAAATCGTGCTGACCGGGGAATGAGAGGTCCTCGCTTCCCGCTCCGTGTGGAAAACTCTGCACGACACCTCCCACGCCTCTGATCCTCGGACGCCTGCACCCCCAAATTTGAGCAGACTACCGGCAGAGAGGCGTACCCTGCCCACCTCGGCGTATCCACTCCTCCTTCTCCATCTCGAAGGAACAAGTGGGGGACTTATTTCCCGGTGGTCGAGCACATTTAAACAAAAAGGCACTTTTGGGCTCTTTGACTCTGCCCGCCGGTCTGCAGTAGATACCACCGATAATCAGTCCGCGTGGACCCTCCGCTCACTGCCACAGGTTTATATTGTGAGACAGCAGGGCTCGACATCCCCACTGGTCTTTCTGTGTTACACTCGCCGACCATTGCAGCTCCTCGTCGCGGGCACCATTTCCACACCGACTCTCATCTCGTGTACCCAGTACCGTCCTCAACAGCGATCTCGCGGCCCATTCTTCCGGAATCTCGCACTCATCTCCCTCGCCACCAGCTCCATCCGCCCGGTGCCCGTTTGAGCCCGCCACCAAGCCGCGGTCAATTCGACGGGCGCCCCTCCGTCATCGCACTTTCTGAGTTTCCGAGCTTTACGTCCACGCACGCCGGACACGACAGAATTGACGAAATTGCACGGATTGTTTGCTTCGATTTTCCTGCGACTTTCTGTGACCGATGCCGCGCCGGACTGATTCGCATTCATGAATTCCTTCGAGATCTACCTCCCCCGGTGACGCTGCTCCTCTCGTGTCGCGGAACACCAGCGCTCGGAACGGTACGCCACCAGAGAGGGCAGATCGGGCAAAATGTACAGGAACACGGCCCAGAATTTTGGCCATGTCAAATGCATTCCACCCAACGCTCTCCCATCGCCTGACAATACCAGCGATTCTGACCTGGAAATCCTCGACGCGCTCGACGAGAAGAGGAGGCAGCTCGACGGGGAAATTGCCAGGTTCAAGGCCGCAAAGGAGCGCGAGTTTCGAGAATTTGAAAGAGAACTCCGCGTGAAGAGGAAAGGGACCCGCATCGGCGGCCATCCCCTGTCAGAGCCGCCGGCGACCAAACAATTCACCTCGGCTCCCTCGGCGACGACCTCTGTTCTGAATTTATTGGCCTCTGCGCAAAATGGTGCTGCCAACGGAAGGGCAGGGCCCAAGGCGAGAAGGGATGGATATATGGTCGACAAGGTCAAGAAACCAGCGCCACTAAGCGGGCCTACTCTGTCATTAGAGAAGTTGAACATCACGGGCGAGACGACGCCGCCGTTGCATTCCCTAGGAACCCCTCCCACACCAAATCTCTTGATGCGATCGAGGTCTCGCTCTCCCACCGACCCAAATGCACGGCCCACAACGCCACCATTCTCAGAAGGCGAAAAGGAATCGACGCCCACGTCGACGCCCACACCCTCGAAGGATCGGTCCGATCCCTTTGCAGGAGTTTTCACTCCGGCATATCTGCCCCTGCTCGAGTCACGCGACCGTACCGCCTTGGTGCGCAGTCCTCAAATTCCGAACTCTGCGGAAGAGGAGACCAAACGACTCCAGCTCGATGCGAGCAGTAAACTGCACGCCGAGAGACAGAAGCTCGAGTCCTCTCAGTCACTGCCTCCACAACAAGTTTCCCCTACGATTGTCACAAGCAAGCGGACGAAGTCGACGCCAGTACTACCCAGTGCAAGCCTTCCCAGTGCTTTGCGGACTACGAGTGGAGGGGGCCGCCGAAGGAAGCACGTCATGTTTCAGCTTGCAGATCTTAAGGTCGTAGACCCAAGTAGTAGTTACGAGGAAGGACCGAGTCCGGAGATGGAGGAGAAGAACGACGTGATGGAATATCGGGATCCAGGCATGCAGAGTGATCACGGCAGCGACGCGGGCAAGCAAAATAACGGGAGCCCCAGACTACTAGGCGAAAAGGAGAAAACGCGAGGACGGGGCAGAAACGGCCGCTTCGTCTCGCCTATCCCTTCACCATTGGCAAGTCCCAGTCCGAGCCCGTCGCCTTCGCCCGCCCTGCAGGGCTCATCGCCACGCCTGTCTCCAGCCGGGTCACCGAGCCCCACCCCGTCCTCTACGGACGAGACAGGCTTCTCCGGCGGTCTTGCCGGCGCAGATGATGGGGGCAGTGGAGTCGGCTTCTTCGAACTCGACGAAGAGCTCGCGAGTCCGGGGCTCCGAGACGGCAACCCCGTCGAGACATTCGATCTCGACATGGAGGACGAGGTCCTCGTCAACGAGAAGGCCAGTGTCGCGCAGCAGGGCCTTGGAATCATTCCCGCCGTGCAGGTGGGCAGCGTGCCCATCGACATCGTGCGGCCAAGCAGCAGCTTTGTAGGCAGTTACGGGCATTGAGGTCGCCATCGCCCGCACCGAGGAGGACGAGAACTGGACCGGAGCGGTCATGAAGGGAAAGGTCAATCTCAAAAAGCATGCTAGGTCATTTGGGCGTTCCCTGGTTATTGTCGGCTTTTTTTCCTGGTTCTTGTCTGGCATTCAGTCCACGTCGCTGCTACTCAACAAGCAGACCATGCGAACAAGTGGATGGCTATGCGAATATACGGATGGGCGGGCGGGCGGCTATCGTGAGCGATTTTGTTTCAGTTTGTTTTGACACGTGCTTTATGATCTATGCTATATGCTCTGTGCGATGTGCTATGTGGCGTGTGTGTGGTACGTGTGTGTGGTATGTGACGCCTGCCGGGGTCGGGATCAGGGTCGACTCCAGAGTCACGTTAGGCACACGACACGGTCACGAGGGTCTAGGACGAGTACAGCGACAGTGACAGCGACAGAAATTGCGACTCGAACGGACACGGACTCGCACTCGAGCTCGGAGCCACATACAATATCTACCTATCTTCCTACCTATCTACACACCTACCTATGTACGCACCTACCTATCTACACACCTACCTATGTGCGCACCTACCTATCTACACACCTATCTACCTATCTTCCTATCTATCTACGCGCCCATCTACCTTTGTGTGTTCAGGTCTCGGGCGGCAAAAGTGAACTTTTTCTAAACGTTGCTTTGCGTTGCGTTGGGATTTATTGTTGGGATTTCCTCTTGGCCTCTTTGTATATACTGACGGTGGCTGACGGCACGCGACACGCGGCACGCCACTGATGGATGAATGGATAGGCCCATTCCAGCGAGAGTTTGCTACGATCTAAAGCTGGTATGGTCGTATTGGATGGCATGGCATGGCATGGCATTGGTCATGAGCTGAGCACACTCAGGGATATAGGATACACAGTATGTGCAGCTATGTATGTAGCCATGTACAGATGTCTATGGGAGATATCTCGCATATCTCGTATATCTATATCTGCGTCTATTCCGATATCTACAGTATACCTATACCGAGATCTACTCTATATCTATTAAACTGGCGCGAGGCTTTATTGTCAGGAAGAGGTCCACAGCTCCTAGGGATCGCCTAAAAAGACTGAGAATCCTGGCAATTCATGCCTGGAACTTTGACCTCTAAGCTTATATACCTGTCTGAACCCCGTTCATGACATTTATAGCCAACGGGTATGCCTCTCTACGGCGGCAGGCACTGACCCTCTTACACTCATGACTCAACTACACTACATCTCAAAGTAAACGGTGCGATGTCTGCTAGCTAAATGGTGTGTATTGTATTGTCTGTCCTCACTATGAACTATTGAAAGCAAAAGGCAAAACAGGAAGGATAAAGAAGCGTAGCCTTGCGCTAAAGCTCCACCAATCAGAACGCCAGATTACTTCTCTGTAAACATGTACAGGGAAGCGGCAGCCTTGCTGAACCATAACTTCATCAACCTCATTACATTATACCTACAGTACCGATATCTATATTTATACCGAGATCTACGTCTATACCGATATTTGCATCTGTCTCTAGCTGCGTGCACGTATACGTACACGTGTATGTAGCACAAGGCATGCCCAAGGTCGGTTCGTCATGTCGATGGGAGTTAGGTAAGTAATAAGTATTCAATTGTCCCAACTCCCGTACAATATCGCACGTCACATGTCACACATCACAGGTGTGTGTACAGTACCGTGTACTTAGGTATGTACCGCGTATTTACTTGGGTATAGAAGGTAGAAACACGCACGACCAGGCTGCAGCTCGAAGGTTAAACAGCGACTGATGGAATACGTACTTTAGGAGTAGACCCCCGTCTCGTCTGTACTCCATGTAATTTAAATATACATATATACATACATACATACATCTACGCAGAGACATGTGAGTAGAGACATGTGAGTAGTCACATCCCCGACTGAATCTGAGTCCAGGTCGGGTGAATGATCACGGACTCTAGGCGAAGTTTACATACGTATTTGGGTCGAGTGACTGACTAGGTATGTAACGACCACGAGTCTCAGTCTCTTCCGCGCATCTGAGCCAAATAAACCTCTCGGTCAACCAATACATCGTACTCTGGTATTGTAATACACACGGCTCGGCGGTCTCCTCCCCCCTCCCTCCTCTCTCCGCTCAAATCAGAGCCTGGCCTCTGAACATGGCGTCCCTGACCTCGCGGATAATGTCCTTGCGATCCTTGCCGCCCATCAGCACGATACCCCGTCCGCGACGGTTCATGCGCCCCATGCGGCCTAGTCGGTGGACAAAGTCAATGGTCGTGTGCGGGACGTCGTACAGGACGACGTGGCGGACGGCGAGGGTGTCGACCCCGCGGGAGCCGAGATCCGTCGTCACGAGGACCTTGACGTCGGGGAGATGACGCGTGGGTCTTGCCTCTGTTTTGCCCGAGCCGGACGGGGTTGGGGTGGTGGCCCGGTCGAAGGGGACAAAGTCCCTAAAGAGTTTCTTTGCCGGGTTGCTCGTCGTCGCACCCGCGGGTTTGGACGATCCGTCGACTTTCTCTACCGACGTGAAAGATGAGAGGATCTCGGCTTGGCGCTGTTCCGTCGTGTCCCGAGTCAGCGCCACCGCTTCGATGCCCTTGGTCACCAGGTACTGGGCGACTTGCTCAGCCTTTTCGCGCTCGTTGACGAAGACTAGGATGTGTTTGACCGTGTTTTTGGGGTTGAGGTCCTCGTGCACGGCTTTGCCCAACGTCCAGATCACGTCTGCGCACGCGAGGTCGCGGTCACCGCGGTAGGGGGCACGGTCGATGTCAACGGCCCCGAGTTGCACGCGGCGCGGGATGGTGTGTAACTTTGGGGTGACGATGCGTTTGCAGTCGGGGAAGCGCTTGTCGATGAATTTGTCCAGACTGTTGGGGATGGTTGCCGAACAGAGGATGAGTTGCTTCAGAGACGGGGCCGCGCGATCGATGATCTCGCAGGTTGTTTCGGCGAAAGAGCGGTCGAAGAGACTGTCGGCTTCGTCCATGACGAGATATTGGATCCGGGAGAGGATGTTGGGTTCCTTCTTCGCGATACTGGCGATGAGGTGTGGAGAGGAGACGAGGATGTCGATGCCGGCCGGGTTGAAGAGACGGTTGCGGATCACAGTTGGGGTGTTGGAAGAGGAGATGCCGGCAGAGCGGTATTTGATCGTGTGCGACATGGACTTGACGGTCTTTGTCACCTGAGAGATCAATTCGCTGGAGGGGAGGAGGATCAATGCTCGGGGACGGCCCATTGATGAATTGGGTGGTGGTGAGTCGTCTTCCAGAGGATCCGAATCGAAGACGGTGTTCCTGTCTCGCTCTTCTTTGTCCTTTGTCTCCTGGGCTTCGCGCTCGAGTTGCTCGTTGTGGTCGAGTTCTTCTTGTTGTTTGACAGAGTTGATGACGGGCAGAAGATAGGCCAATGTCTTCCCTGACCCGGTCTCTGCGGCGAGGAGAAAGGTTTTGTATCTGTTCGGGACAGCCTTGCCTTCTGCGTCGACTTTATTCTGTTTCTGATATTCACCCTTTTTGCTGAGGAGGGCTGGGATGGCCAGCTTTTGCACGGCCGTAGGTGTATACTCGGTCAGATGGGGCAAGACTTGTGTGTATATGGCGTCGACGACTGACGGCATCAGACCCAAGTCCTCGAATGATGTGATCTTCTCCATCTCTAGCTTGAGTTTGTTCCGCTGGCCATAGGATAGAGGTGTTAGGGTCTGTTGCATCTTCAGTGCGTGGAACAGCGGCCGTTCGTCCTTGTCTTTCTTCTTCTCTTTTCTAGGAGCCGGCGATTGCAGTGACCCAGAAGCTTCTTCTCCACTGGATATGGTCCGCACTGTTGGCTTGGATGGCGATCTCACCGCCGTCGTCCTCTCCCTAATCTTTGACTTGATGGCCATTCTAGCACGCGAGGGAATCGCTCGAGGCGGTCGTGGCGGTAATCTTGCAACAGTCTGATTCATACCGGCAAAAGGCCCGGGTGTTTCTCGTCGCGCAGATTTCCTTTCCATCCCTGATCTGCCGACATCTTGAGTCAGTGTCATTCTCGAAGGCTTCCGCCTCTGTCGCATGGCCAAAGCCATCGTCCGTTGAGTCTGCCATTGTCGGGTGGCAGGACGTAGAGTAGAGAGAAGCGCTCTGAAGCGGCATGCCGGACAGATCGCCGCGCTCGAAGACATTGGCTTGGTGTACAACGATGTTCACTATTATGTACACAAGATCAGGCGCACTACAGCGCGGAGTGCAGGCTGGAACTTTTTTTCTTGCGCTGCGCGTAGTCGCGTTCCACTGTAGCCGGACCCCCCTGCAGGGCCCACTTCCTGCGTCCCCTGTTGTCTCGGTTGGACGCCGTTGCTGTTGTCTGGCCAACGCGGTTAACGGCTGGCTTTGTTTTCGTCCCCATGTAAAGCGCCCGATAGCTGCGGGGCCCTCTCAAGTTTCACTTGCGCCATTCATATCCTTTAACGAGATCTTGCGCATGACTACTCATGCTCTTTCCTTCAAGAGTGGCCTTCATTGCGGTCGAGCGATTCCTTCTACACGTTCGTTTCTTCCTCTACCCGAGTGCATAATCGGATAATCCAACACGCCGCAGCTGGTCTGCCTCACCAGGCTCGGCTCAGGTCAGACAATAATCCGCCATTCTTGCGCCCTACGCACTGTTCATCAGCCCTTCATTCCATCCTCGACCAATCCAGTCAATCATCCATGGTCTGAGCTCGACGTCTACCACATACACAAAGCCATTGTCGAGCAGTCATGGCCTCCGCGGTACGTGGCTTCGTTGATGTTGGACTCCCTTCTCACTGTTCTCTCAGGTCCCTCCTCTGCGCATTCAGAAGGGCAGCGGCAATGGCACAAGCACCTCGCCGTCCAAGCTGCCCCGAGTGACCAATCGTCCTCTATCCGAGCTCAGTCCCATGGCCGTTCGGAGGAACTCTCCGAGTTTTCCACAGGCAAAGGTGCGCATGCCGTCCACTTCAACACGACATGACCAAGTTGACATGATAACAGGGCAAACTCTTTGGCAACGAGAACTCCCCAGTAACGTCATCGCCCTTTTCTACGACTTCGCCACGTCTGTTCTGGCAGGGTCGAGATCCCAATTCGCCCGCCAGAGACGCCACCGAAAGCCCGCCGGTCCATGCACCGCAGAAGCGATCATCAATTGAGAACCTCAAGAGAGCTTCGAGAGTCAAGAACAGCAGCATGTTCGAGATCGAGCAGAGACATCACTATGATCCCTCACGTCCCTCAATCCTCGATGGCCGCCCACAAAGCATGCAATTCCTCAGACAATCATCACCTGTACGCATTTCCGATTCAGGGCGTAAGGAGAACCTCGCACCAGCTATCACGGCCTCACCAGTGCAGCCGACAGTGAAAGAGCCTAAAGAGGATGCTACGTCCAGCGCTAGTACTGTCACGCCTTTGTCGCCGAGCAGAATGAATCCTTCTCCCACCAAGTCTTCGCTTTCGAACAAGACTGGTTCGGCGTTCCGGCGCAATGGTTTCGACCCAAATACAGGCGTGTGGGAGGACGATGAGGAGGTCCACGAGAAACAACTGCCAGTCGGTCGTGGCCTCCACCGACATCAGAAGAGCGTCACTTTCGACCAAGCCCCTCCACAGGTAAATGAGTATGAGATGACCACGCCTGCCCCATCTTCCATCGCGTCTGGTTCTCGCGAGGGCAGCTACGACTCTGCCGACGAGGATGACGAGGAGGAAGAGGAAGCTAGTTTCGACAGAGGCTCGTCCATGGACCATGATGACAGTTTCGACGCGTCTCTGGAAGACACAGAAAAGACGCCGGTTGTGCTTCCTGAGGACTGGCGCTTCATGAGCCCCGACACCGCAAACACCGACCTTGCTCAACACGAGGAGGATGTCTTCGAGGATGACTATGGCAGTCCTGCTCCAACTGCTCAGCCTGGCACTGCTTCCAATAGACCTCACCAAACCAGTGCAAGCTCAGTCGATTCCAATGGCCAGTCTCGCCCTCTACCACCTCTCCCTCCCACGGTCGGAGCTCAAGCTCAATCAAGGAGTGATAGCCTTTCTAATGCATTCGAGCGTATCAGCGTCGCCTCACGTTCACTTCCCACGCCTCCGATGCCAGCGGCAACCTCCAAAATTGACATCCTGAATATGAGAGTATCGACATCTCTTTCAGCCGAGGATAGGATTCGCTTGATGGCCCTGCAAGACCAGGAAAGAGAACGCCGAATGAGGCGTATGGGCTCCAAGGAACCCAGCCCCCTTCGTAGCACCAGTGCAGACAACTCAACCACCTCAGACCTGGAGCCGGTACCGGTGCTCTCCGAGTCGAGGAACTCCACACCGCAGCTCTCGAGAGACTCGATACTGGCAGGCCTTCGCGGCGAGATTGGCCCTGACAGTCGAGACAGCAGCGAGGACATCCCAGATGTGCCTCAAGGGCGAGACCTGGCATCTCTCGACCCAGATATTCCCATTCCTTCAATGGAAGATCCCACCCAACCACGCATCAAGGAGGAAGAGCCGGAAGAAACAGATTTGTACTCCATTCCCGACGCATACGGTCGCCGCGTTGTCTCAGATTCGGATGTGAGCGCGAACAATGACGATGACCTTACCAGCCAGTACTCCCAGCCATCGCTTGCCTCCTTCGCTCCTTCTGCGGCCGCTGATGAGGGCCAAGAAACACCAAAGGCACAGAGCCCAGCGCGAGAAGTGCTTTCTAAATCTGCGCTTCCGCAGCGCGTCTCATTGCCTGACTTTGCGGACTTCGGCGAGACAAGCAGTTTCGACGTTGGCCTTGCGCCATACTTGAGCAACGAGGAGGAGAAACCCAAGCAGCTACTCCGCCGGGAGTCAACAACGGAATTGCCTGATCTCGCCGCATTACGACAATCGATCCAGCGTTCGTACACTCCTGATAACCAGCCCAAGCAGCGATTTGGAAGTCCAACAACCTTCAGAGCGGAGCAGGCAGTGCCAGGTAGTCCTGACTCTGTGGTGAGACATTCCACTGCATCCGATGAGTTGCCCATCCGCGCGAATGTCGAGCCGGAGCAGCAAGTGGATGCCCCTGAAGTCGACAGTGGTCGATCTAGCAGTCTCTCGGCGGCCTCCGACACCGGTTCCGTCTTGATCAACGAGAGAGAAGCTTCGCCAGTGTCTCCTATTTCCGCCGAAATCGAAGACACACCGGAGGCTGCGATCACCGAACCACCTCAGGATTGTCTAACGGACGAGAAGCCTTCCGAAGCTCTAGCCATCGCAGCGGAGAAGAAGCGTATTAGCAGTTTGATACCCTTGGATATTCCCCATGGAAGCCTGGACGAAGGCCTTGGCCTAGGTCTGGAGAAGGAATTTGACCGAGTGGTGGAAGCCCAGAAGGTAGAGTTTGAGCTCTCTTTGCAACGCCTCTATTACCCTTTCCATGGACGTTTCCCATCGAGTGAGCTCCCGCTTCACAAGGCGGAAGAACGGAAAGTTTCCAACCCAATGGAAAATGTCCCTTTTCTCCCCAAGCCCCGTGGAGCACGTCCTCCACCAGGCACAAGTCTTGCTATTCCCCCCACTACATCTGGCCATAGAGATTCATTTGCTAATCCAGCTCGTTGCCGACAGAGAGGTTACCTGATGCGACAAAATACCAAGATCGTGATTGCATCGGAACGTGTGTCCCAGGACGAGTGTAGGTCACCTGGTCTCCCTATGGTGACTGAGGACGGTTTGCTGGGTGTACCGACGGAGGCCAACCACGTCGTGCCTTCACCACGCAAAACGAGTCAGCCAACCTGGACCGCTGAGCCATGGAATGGCAAAACTCGTCGAAAGAGCATCAGGGTTGGAGGAGAAAAGACCATGAGCAAGCGAAAGCCAGTTGAAGGATCCGTGCCACCCTTGCCTGGGCTCCCCAGCAATGTCCAAGAGATGCTTGATGCGGTGGCTGAGGATGAGATTGGGGAAGAGGATGAGTGGGAGGAAGGCGCTGAACGCGGTCGGCTGTTTGTCAAGGTTGTCGGTGTCAAGGACCTGCAGATGCCTTTCCCGCAGCGTAAGACGATCCTCAATATCCGAATTGCGCCTGCGCTAACAGTCACATAGACGAACGGACCTATTTCGCCCTGACGCTTGACAACGGCATGCACTGTGTGACAACTGCCTGGCTCGAACTTGGTCGAAGTGCCCCTATCGGCCAGGAGTTTGAGCTGGTTGTGCTAAATGACCTTGAATTCCAGCTCACCTTGCAGATGAAGCTGGAGGAACCGAAGATTGAACGGCCACAATCTCCTACCAAGCCGCCTGCCTCGCCTAAAAAGCAAGGAGCTTTTGGTAGGTTGTTTGGCTCGCCCAAGAAGAAGAAAGAAACGGAGGCCAGGGCTCAGCAAGAAGCGCAGGCTGCTAGAAGACCCGTAACCCCCCCTTCGGCCTACGAGCTGGTGCAAGGTCTGGTCGCGAAGGACGGTTCATTTGCCCGAGCCTACGTCGCATTGAGTGAGCATGAGAAGCACGCATACGGTCGACCTTACAATGTCGACATCACCTGCTTCAACGAGTGGGCGCTTGAAGAAGTCCATGTTGGCAGCTCGCGAAGCAAGAAGAGTGTACCACAACTCCAGCGCCGTCCGCCCTATGAAATTGGCAAGCTGGAGTTGCAACTCCTGTATGTGCCAAAGCCGAAAGGGGCCAAGGATGAAGAGATGCCGAAAAGTCTGAATGGTGCTGTCCGTGCGCTCCGAGAGGCCGAGGATCGTCTTCATCAACAAGCCAATATCAAGGAGTTCGAGGGATATTTGAGTCAACAGGGAGGAGATTGTCCGGTAAGTTGAGCTGGTCCATGGAGCGAGGAGGACATGCTGACCGATTGCAGTACTGGCGAAGACGCTTCTTTAAGCTTGCGGGCACCAAGTTGACGGCTTTCCACGAGACAACTCTGCAGCCACGCGCAACCATCAACCTCGCCAAAGCCACTCGCTTGATCGATGACAAGACTGCCCTCATGCAGAGAGAGACTTCCACGAAAGGTGGTGGTCGTCGCAAGAGTGGATTTGCTGAAGAGGAAGAAGGCTACATGTTTGTCGAAGAGGGCTTCCGCATCCGTTTCGGCAATGGAGAGGTGATCGACTTCTATGCTGATTCCACTGCCAACAAAGAGGAGTGGATGCAAGCTCTCGCGCAAGTGGTGGGCAAGGGCGTGCAGACTGGCTCCGCCCCGATCAAAGGCTGGACGGAGATGGTTCTCAAGCGCGAAAAGAAGATCAAAGCTGAAGCATCGGCACCACGTCCCCGAACGGGCCATCAACGAACAGAGACGTACCACACCAGCGGGGCCATCAGCCAGGCGAGCAGTCCCGTGAAGTCTTCAGCTCGCGAAGAGAGGCATCGAAAGACGAAGAGCATGATCATGTAGGGACGGAATGGTAATGGGCATCTTCGAACAGGAGAGATGATTCTGTACAGGGGCACAGTGGTACGCACATGCTGGATTGGTTCTGCGACGGCCAGGAGGCGTTGAATTAGGACGGCGGCTTGGATCGGAGTGTTGAAACCGGAGGATCTGGACTCCCTTTTGATTCTGATGGGCAGACGATTTCATGCAGCGCACGATCCATGAGGAAGTCAAGGTCGGTAGACAGGGCTGACCAGGCTCATCATGCACGGTGCCGTGATGTGCATAAAGAGTTTCTCCCAGAAAAACGAGTGTTGAAGACTTTAGGTGTCTGCGGTAGACGAGCAAATGGGCCCCCACCACGCAACTAGCCCGTAAGCAGCTCGCAAATGGACGGCGATCAACCGACGATACTGTGATTGACTTCTCCTCCCTCGCCTTCTAAGTCCATAACCTCAAGATGCAACCATGGGCCTCGTACGGAGCATCGCGATTGTGGTGCTCAGCATCTCGCTGATCGTGTTCGTTGCGCTGTTCGGCCGACTGCCAGCCTTTCGGTAAGCGGGCGTCTCACGAATAAACCTTCTTGTCACTTGCTCTTTTTAACCGGATGATTCAGGAGAACGCCGATCGCCTTTCTACATCGACTGCTATGGGTGTACATTCCCCATGCCCTGGGCCAGGTTGACGAACGGCTTACCGGCCGACGCATCACGCGCAGTCTGGCCCGGACGGGGGACTATCTTATGAATGAGAAACACCCGCTTGTGCTTGTATGCCCAACTCAGCTGCCCCTTCCCTGTGTGCCCGGCATTTTCCTGACATACGCGACCCTCTGATACAGATCTTCTTCGTGGGACTGCAACTCATTGGCGAGATCTTGTTCATTCCGGCAGCATGGGATCGGCTCTCGTTTGCCCAGATTGCGGCACTACCCCCACTGATCATTGCGCCGCTATGGTTCCTGTACCTATGCAACGCGACGGACTCGAACATTACGCCTCAGAACCACCGATCCGCCATGCTCGCTTATCCGTATGACTTTGCGTTGTTCCACCCGGGGTACTTCTGCTCGACGTGCCGGTTCGCCAAACCCCCGCGCAGCAAGCACTGCTCGATTTGCAAGGCGTGCGTGCAGAAGCAGGACCACCACTGCATCTGGATCAACAACTGCGTCGGACGGGCCAACTATCTGTGGTTCAACGCCCTGCTGGTGAGCATTGCCGCGCTCCTCGTCTACGGCAGCCATCTGGGCTACGGGCTGCTGGACGCGCGGCTTCAGGACCGGCTGGTCCCGCCTGCGCTCACGCGGGGGAGTCTCACGAGCAAGCGGTGGAGCACGCGTCTGTCGTGGAACGAATACGCGCATGCCTGGGCGTGGGCCATCGCTGTGGAGTGGCGCATTGGGGCTGTCGTCATGTTGAGTCTCATGTGTGTGCCCTTGGCGTTCGGCTTCCTGGCGTATCATCTGTACCTGATCTGGGCGGGGATGACGACCAACGAGTCGTCCAAGTGGAGCGATTGGAAGGAGGATATCCGTGACGGCGTGGTCTTCCGCGCGGAGATGCAGGCGCTGAGGGAGACGTTCCCGCCCCTGCCGGAGGATGTGCAGCCTCGGGATGAGGACGTCAAGTGGCCCCGCGGCGTGAGGGCGCGGTGGTGGCTTGTGCGTACGAGAGATGGGGAGAGGCCGAAGAGGAGGAAGCTCAGGCGGGACGGCAGTAGGGACGGGAGGCGGAATATCCCTGGAAAGAATGTGGATGAGAGGGACGGCCTCGAGGAGAAGCAGGAAGAGGTGCCGGATGACCGATGGGAGAAGGTGACCAGCATTGCGCAGGTGGAAAACATCTATGACTTGGGGTTCTGGGACAATTTGCTGGACGGCCTGTTCAATCGCGCTTGACTGACGGGACTTGTTTCTGCATGAGTTTTACACAAGGCGTGTCCTCTCTTTGCCGGAGTTGTCGCTGAGACCATGTTGCATGGGCGGTGGTTATGCAATAGATCTGGTTCCAACGAGAGCGAGAGCGACAGCGAGAGGAAGAGCGTCACGCGACTCAATTTCTACTGCCATCAACAAGGTGGTTTCTGCTCACCGGGACACTGGAAGGGCATGATGATATAGTAATTAGAGCAATAATACTGGATATGGGTCGACTTGGTCGACTTACTGTCCACGACTATAGCCTTCTCCAAACGATGGACACGCAGTACAGCGGATTCAATCTACATTTCACAAGTCTCCATCTGGATTCACAATAGAATTGATATCACTCGGGTTCGGAGCATTGAAGCCGGCTGAGAGTACTCCGTAATGGCTTTCCATGTCTACATCCCGACCAGGGTGTTGGTCGCAACAGTGTGAGCGTTCCTCCGTAGAGTCTCGGGTAAACTTGTGACTGTGCTGGAAGATAGTACGGTGGAGCAGGCGGCCAGCTACAGTCTGCGGCGAACTTTCGCGGAAATCTTTTGGATCTTTCACTTGCATCTCGTTTGCATCGCAAAGCCGTCAACTTGCTCCTCGAATTCGCCTTTGCATTTACTGGTGCACCACTTCACCGCCCCTGTTGCCTTCGGTCATCGGTACGATTCCAACGGAGTCGACGCCCTATGCCATTGTCCCATTACCTCTGCTAGATCTGCGCTACCTCCGAGCGCGGCAGTGACAAACCTTTTGAAGAGCAACTACAAGGGCCTGAAGCTCCGGATATCTCCACAATGGATCACTCACGAGATCCATGTCCATGGGTGGCGCTTTCAGATTTTGGCGGAGCGTTCTGTATGGGCGCATTAGGAGGTATGCGGAGTCGCCATTCCCCTTGACAGATATCTCTGACAGTGGCCCAGGCACATTATGGCACGGCATTAAGGGATTCCGAAACTCACCATACGGCGAACGACGGATAGGCATGATCACAGCGATCAAAGCCCGTGCGCCCGTGACAGGAGGCAACTTCGGCGTATGGGGAGGAATGTTCAGCACGTACGACTGCGCGGTCAAAGGCATCCGCAAGAAGGAAGATCCTTACAACTCCATCATCGCTGGCTTTCTGACAGGAGGCTCGCTGGCAATAAGAGGAGGCTACAAGGCGGCGAGAAATGGTGCCATCATGTGCGCCATCTTCCTTGCTGTTATCGAGGGTGTTGGTATTGGCATTCAGCGACTGATGGCGGAGAACACGAGACTCGACGTAAGTGTGAAGCCCGTATGAAATGTGCTCGACCAGATATGCTAATACTGTCCAGCTGCCTCCTCCACAACCGCCCTCCGAAGCTGGTCGGGTACCGGCGTGACTCGTGGAATTGGCAACAGTTCCGCATTTTATTTGAAGCAGTTATTCCAATTTTGCGTGGCAGCGCTCGCTTCTCGGTTCTCTACTCTCATCCGGCGAGGATGGCAAGCCTCTTCGCTGTCAAATGACTTCCTCATAAATGCATAGCGGGGCTACAGGCGCAGACAGTCAGGCGGGCAAGCTCCATGATGTGAGATGAATTGATCAAGTGGACATACCTATGGTCGATACGTGCCCGGTTGGCCAACAGATGCCCTCATTGTGGTTGGTTCGATGGCAGGCGCTGAACTGACGCTTGACTGCTTGACTTGACGGTGTAATATAATAAATGGACAATGAACGGAACATGCATAGACAGTCTTCAACTCATTGAGCCTTTGATGTTTGTCAATGTACGGAGTAGTATAGACGTGAATGCACAGCCACAAGGCTACGAGGCTATGAAATGCGAGTGACTGCCTCGTTCATCTCTACTTCCGCATAATACAACTTTGGCTTGTCCAGCATTCCCAACATTTTCCAATTAGACTTACAGATTCTCTTAATTACTCTACGATTCTCTCCGGTGGTATCTGTCATGCATCATGGGAAAAATGTCTCCAAAACCGCGGGCATGGACGACTCAGCAAGAGACGCCCTCGACAAACAGGCACGGGTGAAGACCGCTGATTTGGGCTTCCATGCACCAGACTACATCCTAGACGATATCATCCCGGTCACAGACCCCAAACTCATCTACAGCAATACTCATGCCCAGCGCGACCGCCGCCTTCGCTTACTGATCCGCCGCTACACGAACCAGATCCAGTACGGCTGCCGCAATGTCAACTGCGCGACTCCGACCTGCTTGAGCTACCGGAAGAGAAACAGTACTGCCCCGTTGAGGAAATACACTGAACTGAGCGCGAGAACATTGGCGTGTCAGTTGGTGGATGAATACGGTCGAAGTGGCAAGGACACATCATTAGGACTCTGCCCAAATGAACCTGTCGTGCCGTGGTACGAGGATCCCGCACATGCGAAGAAGAGGAGGAACAGTCACGAGAAGCTGCCACAGCAGAGACAAGAGAACGGCCATCACCCGAAGCGGGCGAGCCTCACGCAGCACACAAGAGACTCTTCCAAGCAACCACCGGTCAGTGACCATGGAGCACGAAGACACAGTCAAGATGGTGTGGTCGAGGCAGGGAGGCGCATTCGCAGACTGGATTCTTCCATTGCGGAAGGGCTTCCTGAGGTTGCTAATCTCTTGAATACAACTGTTTTACGACCCAGCCTGGACAAGAACCACGCCAGAAGCGAGGATGTTACCCGTCAGCTGTCGCACTCATCTTCAACTCCCACGAGGCCGAAGGATCTGGCTTCCTTTACACAGACCCTCTTTGATCTAGTACCACTGCGAATTCTCAACTGGTTGCCCGTCAAGATTGGCAGCAGTACTGGAGATGACCCAGTAGCCGCGGATGGTGCTACCCATCAAGAGCAGACTCCTGCTGATAGCATTCAAGATAACGGCACAAGAGTCGAAGAATATACCACCGAGACGGTATCGAATGGGCCAAGCGATCAGTACCAGGACGCACCAGCAGTCCACCAGCAACCTACATACTCTCTGAAGACATTGACATGGCAGAACGTGACGTGGCTGCTGTCGAAGGACCGAAAAGAAGATCCTGGCTACCATGGGCGGTTCACCCCGTTTATTAAACAGAGCTTCGCATACTGTCTCAGCGATCCTGAACGGTTGTGTAAATCTGTCAAAGATATTCAGGAGAGTGTCAGGTCTGGCGCATACAAACCGCAAGACAAGGGTGACTCGGCCACCAAAGCAAGTTGTAGCAATGGCCAGCACGTCCCCTCTGTCGTGCCAAAGCATTCAATCGCTACAACAACACCGGGCGATATGCGAGCGCTATTGTACGGCCTCTCCACTCTTGAAGCCTTCAACGAACGAGACCTGCTCATGACCAGCGTTCTGGAAGCACTGCAACACTCGTATTCCCTGCCCTCGTGGCTGCGGAGCTGGCAGTCTGGAAAGCATCGTCGTTCGTGCAGCGCCAGTAGCGAGAAGGCATTGATGAAGAGCCAACGACCATTCGACGACGCAAATGCTTGCGTCGCTCGTCCCTCAGACATCGTGGGCCCCATTTCGCTGCTCGAAAATCATGTGCCTGTAATCCACCTGGAAGACCCCCAGGTGACCGAGCTCTGTCTTGTGGCACTGCTGTTTCTCGCCACCACCATTTTCAACCCTAGATTACCTGCGTCGCCAAAAGCCGCTCGCTGGTTGGACAAGCAAGATTTTGTCAGCTTCAGAGACGAGAGAAACCTTGGGCTTGCCCATGCGTCTTTCCGGGGGTCCTTGCGACCGCAAAACCTCGTAACCATGCGCGAAGTGATCGAGGCTATTGACGTGTCTGAGGACTGGTCGGTACATCGGCTGCTTTTAGGCTTGATGGATGCGATCAGCCATCGACTGACCATTGCCAAGTGGGCAAAGACGCTGAAGACCTCAAAGGGGACAAAGTCGAAGCAATCAACGATCGTCGAATCCCTTGTCGCCCGGTTTGACCGCAACTTCCTTCCCATGGGAGAGGACGTTAGATCTAGCTGGATTGGCACGGTGGCCGTCGAACTGGTGAGAACCGTAATGCTCAAGGATTGGGATCGCTCTGCCGTCATTCAGCGAGGTGGGCCTGTAGGTGGTGCCCTGGAGCTGCTTGCAGAGATATACCGCCAGAGGCAAGACTTGGAACTGCATCACGGTCTTTTCTGGATGCCCTTCATTGCGGAAGCCTTTGATGACATGTCTATGCCTTCGGAATGGCTATCTTTCCGAGCCGACAACCGTCGAATGCATCTCCTCTCCTTCTCCTTTCTCTTCCGGCCTGAAGTCCTGGTGAAATACTTCCGGGCAATGAACATTGCAATTATGAAGAAGGCTCATGAGGATGCTATCGTCGTTTTCAATGACACAAGGCAGTATATCTGGGCAACGCCGGCAATCCCGATCTTCGGCGCGAAAGAGGTGTTGGCTCATCTCCGACCTCATATGGCCAAATACTTTGTGCTTACAATTCGGAGAGATGATATTTTGAATGACGCCATCAATCAGATCTGGCGTCGTCAACGGCAGGAGTTAATGCGACCTCTGCGGGTGCGTATCGGCAAGGACGAGGGTGAAGATGGCCTCGACCATGGTGGAGTCCAGCAAGAATTCTTCAGACTTGTCTTTTCCGAGGCGTTTCGACCCGACTATGGCATGTTCACGGTTGACAACATCACTAGGATGGCTTGGTTTCAGCCAGGTTCACTGGAGCCGCTCTACCGATTCGAAGCGTTGGGCATATTGATGTCCCTGGCTATCTACAACGGCATTACAATTCCTATCACCATGCCGCTCGCTTTCTACCGCAAGCTCCTCGGGCTCAAGGTCAAGAAACTTGAACATGTCGCGGATGGCTGGCCTGAACTGGTGAGAGGCTTGAGGACAATGTTGGAATGGTCCCATGGCGATGTCGGTGACGTGATTGCCAGGACTTATGAGTTCAGCTACGAGTTCTGTGGCAGCAGCGTCACCGTCGACATGCAAAAGTTTGGTCGAGATGACCCATGGCCACCAACAACGCCGCGGACAAGTAAATGGGGCAAGGCGAAATCCAAATCTACATCCTTTGAAATACCACTGGATTCGGCATTGACGCCACCATCTCACACGTCGCCGAACTTGAGTCCTACGATCCCGACCGCTCCGATCCTCAGCCGAACCTCCTCCATTGAGCTCAAGGGCATTTCAACCCCTCAGAGTATCGACAGTGATGTGCTTGAGACCCCACAAGTCGAAGAAGCGGCCCTCGTCACAAATGCGAACCGCGCCCAATATGTCAAGGATTACATCCTCTGGCTCACGCACAAATCCGTTGAACCGCAATATGAGGCGTTCGCCCGCGGCTTCTACACCTGTCTCGACCGCACCGCCCTTTCAATCTTCACGCCTGAAGCGCTCAAAGTTCTGATCGAAGGCTACGCCGATATCGACATCGACGAACTTGAACACACGGCCACTTACGACGATTATACGGCGACTGATCCCACCATACTCGATTTCTGGAGCGTGGTTCGCAGCATGTCGCCGGAACAACATAAACAGCTACTCGAGTTTGTGACGGCGAGCGATCGTGTGCCCGTGAATGGGATGAAGAGTGTCACGTTCATCGTCCAGAAAAACGGCGAGGAGGATACGAGGCTGCCTAGTTCTAGTACCTGCTATGGTAGGCTTTTGTTGCCGCAGTACTCGAACAAGAAGATTTTGGAGGAGAAGCTCACCAAGGCGATTGAGAATTCGGCAGGGTTTGGAACCTTGTGACCTGGACGTCTTTGTCACATTTAACTGGCATGGCAATCGCGATACGAGACAGGATGGGAAATCGAGATATTGATTCAGTTGGCCAAGGGAGGAGAATTAAAAGGCCCGTAAGACACGCGCGGGTCTGGGGCACTATTGTTACCACCGTGACTAGCGCGGTGAAGACAGAGTATCAGTCTCGTCCATGAACTTAGTTAGCTCTTACGAATGATGATTATGCACGATGAAGACTTGATCGCGTTCTGGTCTTTCCACGTCTCGAACGCGTCACGTGCGCGACGTCTTCCCAGCTCTAGCACCATCACTAGCTACTGCTAACCTCAGGGGTAGGCCGGTCGATGAGCATGGCGTTCTCGTCGGCCTCCCGCCTGAGTGGTCCCGTGGCATTTCCATAGACCGTAGGACCTTCGACCACGCCATCCATGTCCATGTCCATGTCCATATCCATGTCGACATCGACATCGACATCGACGCCGCCGCCTTGATGCTGACCTTGGTTCTCGGAGGAGAAGAATTCACGGTCCGCTTCGTCGCCCTCGAGCAACCAGATTTTGACGTCGCGGTCCTTCCCACCGCTGACCAGCAGACCTTTTCCTTCTTTGGTCCTCCCGAAATCGATCCCCAAGACGACATCCCTGTGCGCGGCCTTTTCTCGCCAGAGGACGTCCTTGCTGGTGACGTCCCAGGCGACGATATCGCCGTCTTCACTCCCGCTCGCCACAAAGGCCTCGAGTCGTCTGTCCCCACCACCACCGCCACCGTCATAGTCATGTGTATAGCTGCCGACGGCGCCTCCGAGACTGTACTGCGCATTGACATGGGCCTGGTACGTCTTGACGCAGCGGCCCTCGACGTAGTTCCACAGTCGGACGCAATTGTCCAATGTCCACGCGACGAGGAACTTGCCGTTGGGCGAGAACTTGACGCTCGTGACGGCCTTGCGGTCCTCGTCGACGAGCGTGCGCAGACACTGGCCCGTCGAGGCGTCCCAGATGCGGATCAGACCGTCGCCGGCGCACGACGCGACCATGGTGCCGTCGCGCAGAAAGTCCACGCCGCCGACGGGGTCCGAGTGCGCGGGGAGACTCCTCATCACGCGGCCCGAGCGCACGTCCCACAGGAACACGGCCTCGTCGAAGGACCCCGTCACGAGCATGTTCCCCTTGGGGCTGAAGCAGAGCGAGTACACGTAGTTACTGTGCCCGGTCAGTGGGGACGGGGCGATCGGGAAATCCGACCCGAGCGGCGACCACAGGAGGATCGATTTGTCGTCGGACGCCGAGGCGAGCGTATACGGCGGCCCCACGGGCGACCAGGCTATGGCGTTCACGCCTGCCAGGTGGGCGCGGAGGGTGCGGATATGCTTGAAATGTGATGATGCTGGCGTGGGGTTGGCAGGGACGGAATAGATGTTGATGGTGTTGTCCGCCGAGGAGGTCGCCAGGAGGGCCATGTCGGGCGAGAATTTCAGGCATGTTATACCCCTGGCGTGGGCGCGGGGGAGGGTGACGAGGGGCGTGAACTTCAGGGCTTTAGGTTTCAAGGACGGCGGAGGGAGCAGCGAAGCGGAAGGTCGGCGGGAGTGTGAGTGCGAGTGTAGGTGCGAGGGAGATGGAGTCCGGGACTGCCGCGGCGAGTATGTGTCTGATCTCAATCTTGATCTCGACCTTGATCTTGACCGTGATCGCGAATGTGATTGTGATTGTGATTGTGATTGGGATCTTGATCTCGACCGGCGCGACCTCTGTTGGTGTTCGGGTGCGGAATCATAAGTCGAGCTACCTGTCGGGCTTCTACTCAGGCGTCTTCTCCGCGGGGAGAGGCTTCGGCTGCGACTTCGTGATCTGTCTCTGCGGGCTGTATCATTGCGGCTGTTCTCTGGACTCCTGCTTCTTGAGGTCGAGTAGCTTCTCCCGCGGCTCATGTCGCGTGCTGGGCGCGTGGATTCTTGATGGCGCGAGGAGGGAGGGTGGGTGCGTGGATTGGCGGCGGACTTGCGGGACGAGGATGAGTCTTCGCTTGACGTGCGGCGTCGCTTCGGCGGTGGATACCGGTCAGTTTCCATCGTGAAGGGGGGTTTAAATCTTTCTCACCGTCTGAGCGCGGCGGCGGGCATTCTGGCGTTTCGCAACGCGGTGCAAAATTTATACGGTGAAGCAATAAGCAAATGTGCAGGAAGACATAATGCTACTGTGGAGCATAAAACCAGAGGATCATCTTCATCTTCGCTCGAAAGCAAAATCTCAAGCTCGCCCAAGCACCTTTGCTCAGGTACTTTTGGCGAGCTGATGGACAATCCGTCGCTGTTTTCTTGAATCATGGCTACTTCACGCCAAACCCCTGCTACCAGATCGAAGGCAAATATGACAAAATAGCTGCCATTGACTGCCTGCAGGCCCTCTCCCATTAATAGAAGTACCGGTACTGTCAGGCCTGAATCCCACTCGAATTGATGTTATGAATGATTCGTCTTCTCAAACCACGGCCTCAACGTCCTCACCGTGGCGCCCGCTCGACGATCTTAGGTTCCTGGTGTTCCGACGGAAGTGGGTTCGCGTGCCTGCTTGACGATCTTTGGTTTCGGGCGTCTCCAGCGGAAGAGAGTTCTCGTGCCTGAGAGAGCGAACCTTGTCTTCAAGGTAATCTATGATTTTCTGAGGAGCTTCGGCAGAGTCAAACACTTTGCTGAGATTCAGACCCTCGAATTCCTGATCATTGTGCTGTTCCCAGCCGAGACCATTTGCCGTCCTCATCAGACCGTCAATATCGGATGCAATTCTTTTCACATCGCCCCAACTGGTTGACCCTGGCCATGTATTAGCATATTGGTAAGGTCAAGAGCCTCTGCAAATAAGTACCTATGACAACTTTCCCGATCTCATTCACTGCGGAGCGATAAGTATAGGCTGCCTGATCGAACTCCGTCGCAACCTTTTGAGCTTCGACAGTCAACGCTGAATAGTCCGGGATCGTCTGGTGGATGAGATTCTGCTTTAACGGCTCGACCACGTTCTGTCTGAACCCCTTTTCTAGGGAAAGCAGGTGTCTTTTAAGGTCCCCTGCTCAGGTTCTTAAGAGAAAGTCTCTAACAGGAACGCAAGCAAAACTTACTGTCAATCTCGCTGAGGCGGTCGTGGGAGTAAATCAGGCGCTTGAACGGGATTGATATCGGTACATCGCCCAGGAGGTCATAGTGTGGGCCAGCAACTAGGTCATCTACCGAAAGGCGCCTTTCGATGCCCTCATGCAGGTCCGCAAGCTGCTCGTCGAGCTTTCGGGCATCTCCCCCAAGCGCAATACATCGTGAGTCTCGCAATCGAGAAAACCAACTTTGGCGACTTTGGCGACGTGCAAGCTCGAATATTATTAGTCGAGCCTTGTGTATAACGGCACGAAAAGCATGATAGCAGTTCGTGAGGGTGATAAGGTCCGTGGTAATGGAGATATTTACTCCCCCTCGATAATTCGGAAGGTCTGTATCTGATGGGTCAGCATTTCCACCCCTATAAAAATATCCGCTCTTTGGGACCTCCGCAGTGTCGTCACCCATCTTGCCTCGGAGCCGTCTTCAGGACGATCTTGTGGTTGTTGGTGACACCAATCGAGACGAACAAGGGCACCATGGTAATCAACACCGTATGAGGGCCTGGGACGAACGCAACGACGATTGCTCCGCCTCCACAATCCTCGGCTCGCGACGAGGCGCAGGAGGCGGCATGCGTTGGCAGATGTCCTGCGTGTACCAATCAGAGAATCCTCTCCTCGGATAGCCCACTTCAGCCTGAAGGTGTCTGCATTGCGGACACGAGTAGCTGATCAAGTTGCGTTCTGGCAATGGGAGCAAGGATTAGTGCTGCATGTTGTTATGTCAATGGGTTCATCTCAAGTCGACCCTGGCTGGTTGCCGCCGGACAACAAGGCTGAAGCGATTGAAGCCGGAGTGATCAAGGAAGGCATGAGTTATGAAGATCGGTTATTCCACTACACCTACGCCACGCGGTACGACGAGCTACATTTTCTTGAATGGCGTCTGCTTCAGAGGATCAACATATTCAACCTGCAGAACAAGCTGGCACGTTTGAAAGGCACTTATTGGACAAAGCAACAAGTTTCAAACTCGGAGTCGGACGAACTGAGGAGCACCCTCCATCAGTATGGTGAGTATCCTGCTGACCCAAAGGGCCCTGCTTCTTCTGAGCCTTACTCGAACAAACTGCTAGTCACGGCCATCAAGGACTACGCGTTCATGCAAACGCTGTGCGAACTCCCCGAGAGCCGGTCCTACGAGCGTCAACGCGACCTTGCCATGGCATTCCCCGGCATCGCAGACCTTGACGGCGCACCCTACAACTCCCGCTACTGCACGCTCGCGGCGCCTCCTCCACTCATACCATCGGATCCCATCCGCCAAACTCTAAATCGGTTCCTGCCCAAGCGGCTCACGTATACCAAGCTTGAGATGGAAGCCAACTTTGACGACTTCCTTGCGGGCAAACCCCCGTCGACCATCTCGCCGTTTGTCGACAAAATGACTCGCTTTATCGTTGCCTTTACCGGTGGGGCTTCGCTCGTGGTACCAATGCTCATCATGAGCCTGCCGTCCACGAACCAGACCAAAAGTCTCACTACCGTGTCGGTGGCCGTGACGCTCTTCGCGCTGTTGCTCTCCATGGGCGTACGAACCGACAACTCTAACACGCTGGTCGCGACAGCTACCTATGCCGCAGTGTTGGTCGTGTTCGTGGGGACGAGTTCTTGATGTCTGGGCAAGAATTGACGTTCTGACGTCTGCGCAAACTTTGGCTCCTTGTTGTCTGGATAAAGTTCAGCCCAAGTGTAGCTGGACAGAGCGGGTGAACAGTTGTCACCTATGCCTTGAGTATCACTGCTTTGACCTCGAGATCCCGTGCCCCCATAACGTTGATTCCAGCAAGAATAGTGGTGGCTGGCGAGCTGTTATTTGTACAATCGAGCAATGAGCTAGCCATTGCTCTCCTGTAGCGTAAGCCACTATTTTCCGGCTCGATTATCCCACGAACAGAGATGTTATTCTTAGTGCAGGACGAACATTGTTGTCAATGGCGAGTTGATTATTCTACTTCGGCTCATCCGAGCCTTGAACCTTCAGGGTTGTGTGATCAACTGCGTCAGACTCGCTGTCCGATACGATTCCCTAGGGACGTCGTCAAAATGCGCACGCCCATCTCATTCGTTCAACTAAACTTTCTGCCTCGCAAACTGCCATGATCGCTCACTTCCGAGATATGTCACACTAGACAATCCATCCAACACGTATCATTATTCGTTGTTCAATTTTCCAACTCACTCCCTCTGCCCCATCAACACCCAAACCACCACCGTGATGACCATCATGGCCGCGCTGACCACGAAACCAATCCACCCGACGGCCAAACAGTACGCCGCGACACTCAAGCTCAAAAACACGAAAGCAAGACACTGCAGCAACATCAACCACATGCCTCCCAGGCCCAGCACGACAATGCCAAACACCACACTTCTCTCTCCAGCCGTGCGGGTCCCGGCCCCGCCTCTCCAATGCTTGTACCCGCGCGCGAAAGCATCACGGACATGGCGACGGTGAAAGACCAATCCGACGGAGACGAGCGTCGCCAGAGCGAGGGACAGGGTGAAGAACAACCAGGCCAGCGCGATGAAGGTCTGGATTTCCGAAAAGTAGCGGTGCGCGGAGCCGAAGATGCCGACCGTGGACGTGAAGGTTATGAGGGAGCCGAACGTGGAGAGGAGGAATGTCGCAGGGAGGAGAGCGTCGAGGAAGCTAGCGCGGCGTCAATCTTGACAGAGCGGCAGGAGGGCTGAAAGTTTGACGGGATGGGAATGCCACAGGCGGAAATGTTCAAAGACGTGAGGTCGAGATGCAAGAGCAGAGTGGACGGAAAGCAAAAGACTCACCGGAGAGCAGGAGGATCGGTAGGGTCGGTAGCCATTTCGAATTGCTGCATGGGGGATTCGTGAACGACGAATCGAAGCGTCTTGATCTCTATCTCGCCGACCTTGAGAAGAAGCGCTCGTAGAAAATCCAGGTGGGTTTGTGTTTTCTCAGACGCGTGGTTCAAGGTCGTTGGAGAGTTGAGATCCCGTCACCGGGACTTCACTCGACCAACCTGGGTCCTTGGTCCCAGACACGGGTGTCCGTATGGCAACCTCCACCACCTAGACAGTCGACCAAAACGCAGCTAAGCAGGTACCCGGCTTGTGGGTATGAACAGCCTTCACGCCCGCTCACCTGTCTGCCCGCGCGTCTGCCCTGCCAAGAACCACTCCCTCTACTCCGTAGTGTACAAAGCGCCCTGCTCCGCCCCGGCTCGGCTGCCTCTTGATAAAACGGGCGCACCCTGGTGCCGTGCGGCTCAATGCGTTCAAACGACCTCTTTGCGGACCTTTGGGCAAACCTTTTAAACACCCTGGTGACCTCTCTGACAAAGTCCGAGCAGATACCAATGCAGTGGGAAGTAGTAAAGCACACAGGCAAACAGGTCACCAAGGCAGACAGATAACTTGATCAACGAACACACACTTTCCGACCGACTCTTTTCTTCCTTCTTCCACTCAGTCAAACGCAGAATATGTGTGTTATATGTGTGCGCGAGCGTGTGTGTGAAAATGTGTGTGCGTATATGCGTGCGGGTGTATGTGTGTAAATGGACTGTGTTGTAGTACAGTCGAGTACATACATACGACACTCCGTATGACCGGTCGCGAAGTCCCCATCGCGGCATTAAGTGATTAATCACCTCCTCTACCCCATACCCAGTACTTAATGATCTCGTACTGAGTAGTCACATGGCGGCGCGGACCAGGGCGCAAGTCTGCATGCCACGCACGCGGCGTTTCAGGAAACGTCGGGGAAAAACAGGTTTCGAGAAGACTGTACTCGTAGCGAGCAGGGATGCAACAAATCCCATCCCCATCACCATCATGTGATGCGTGCGCATGGCATGGATGCCACGTTTCGAGATATCAAATCAGAATGACATCGTGTGATTTGAGTTTCGGGGTCGCTTTTCACAAGTTTGTACTGTCTCTACCTAGTATGTATCCCTGCAGTCGTCCAATGAAACTTAGGTACTTTAGCGCAAACTAATACAAAGTACTCCGGTCTACAAGGACCCTTGAAATCGTCTATTGAAACATGCTATGTAGTCCCTCGCTGCTTTACTCGGCCAATATACTATGTAGTCATACGATCGACTACTGTTATTTATTATGTGGATGCATTTTAAACGGGTTAGTAAGTTCTCGGTTGTATCTGAAAGGGAGTGCCGCCACTTGCAACTTGCATTAGATTCAGGGTGTGTTTCGTTAGACGACTTCAAGGGTAAACCGTAGTATGAGCAGCGGCGGCACTCTCTTTGCCCGTCGCAAAGTGGCTAACCTGTTTACCTCGTACACCATGTTCCCGGCATTTGAGAGTATCTCATGTGCACGGTTGTATCGGCTGCATAGAGCGGCGGGGGACCACACAACGTGTTTCATTGGACGCCTTTGAGGGTAGGCTGTATGTAGTACGAGCCACGAGCTGAAGAAAGTATGAGAGCAAGAGGAGAGAAATATGGAGTGTGTCGCACCCAGTCGATTCAATCCAGTTCAATTCAAGCCAAAGAGCCTTGTTTTGGACTTGATCCTATGTTCTCGTACAGTAATCAACCTGCGCCCTATTTCGTGTACCGTGTCCTGCTGGTGCTGTGGTAGTACTTTTCTACTCTTCTAGTGGCGCATACAGCCATCACATAGTGGAGTCACAATGGTGGACCGAAAGTGGACTTTCCTGCTTATCCAGGACTCCGTACTCCGTACCCGTACTGTGCAGGTGGATCGGGTGCATTAAGATATGGGGCTTCAATGTTCATGACTTGTGACGTGGAGTTCACTCGTGCTGAGTGCCACCGTATGCCGCCTTGATGCATGGAATTCTAATTTGACGCCTCATACAGATCAACTCGCACAATGACCATAATGTCTGTTGATTAGTGGCCCCTCAATGGCCGTGGCAGGACTTCATCGCATAGTCGTAATAGTACATGGACGCATGTACAGGTCAGGTCGTAAATGAAAAGTGTACTCGACATGAAAGTGAAGCGACGTATTCCTGCCACCTCAGACCTCTGTGCAAGATCCAAGCAGAATAGCAAACATGCCTCCACTGCAAACCCTCTCTCGTCGAGAAGAAGAAGAAGAAGAAGAAGAAGAATCTCAAAAGAGTCAAAATCAATAAATCGCCCGTCCTTCATCCCACCGCCTCGTCTCCACATTCGACCTGTCCTCTGCCTTCACCAGACTATCCTCACCAGGACTGCTACTCCCACCGGCCCTCCCATCCGTGATCAAACCGCCGGATCTCCTCCCTTCCAGTCCCGGCGCCAGATCCACAGGCCCGATCCACTCCCAAACACGACTGACTTCGCCAGTCTTGCCGCCTTCTCGATTGCCCGCTCTTACATTCGAATTCCCTTCGACAATCCTCCGCACGCTTCGCCACACGCGCTCACGCTCCGAAGCACTGAACACGCTTCTGAGCACGTCATCTCTGAGCTGCCCAATACTGATGAACGGTTCGGAAACCCGCCCTTCTTGATTCAGTGAAGCTTGCGTGGCTAACCTATCCAGCGTCGTGGCCACAAGGCCTGGAATCCGCGCCGTGTTCTGCTTGTGGGTGATGATCTGGTTGCGACCATATGCTAATCCGGAAACAAGCAGGATCAGAATTGCAATAGGGTTTCGATTCTCTGCAATTGCTCGTAGTACCGATCGTCGGATGGCGCAGGTGAAGGGGAGTCTTGCGAGAGAGGAGGATGAGACGAGCTGTCTTCCAGATCTGTGGATTCGAGAACAGGACTTCGAGTCAGTCAGTGAATCGCTAAAGAAAGTTTTCACGAATCCAGTCCAAAGCATCAGCGAGGAGAACTTGGGGTGCAATGACCATCAGGAGGAGATGGCTAAAGAAATCAAGGTGCAGGCCAAGGGGGTGGTAAGGGGGAACCGCGACTGGGTCGTCAACTCGGGTCATAGCAGGCATGGCCGTAGAGCTGGGGGCCGAAGTGCAAACGTGAATGTCACCAGAGACGTACCGATCCTGGGTAACCTGAACTTCATCTCTGCCCAATATATCTCCGAGGGCGCCGCGCCACAAATCCTCAAATTCCTCGTCGCTCATGCCTCTCCGCTTCATCTTCGATACGGTCTGCTTAAGGTCTTCCTCCGTTATCTCCAGCTGTGACTTTGTTGGTTTGGCCACGGCTTTGGCCGCCTGAGTCTCCCGCGCGACTGGGTTGGAAGGGGCTGTGACTTCCTCACCACATTCGTAGGATGCTCTCCTTTCGCGCAGTTCCTCAATCGCTCGATCTGCGACGGCTTTGATTCTTCTTTGCTTCTCACTGTCTGGCTCACACGTGGGAGGAAGTGGCACTGCGCCGTTCAAGCTCAACGGATGTGGTTTCAAAACAAAGTCGGTCTCACACTCCACTTCCATGTTCGGGTAGCAGACGGCATGTTGCGGACATGGCTCACAGCTGGGTTGGAAGTTTTCGTGCACCCAAGCGGGGATATGCGGGTTGGATGCCAGCGACCAGTTAGGCTCGCCAACTCCACAGTAACCGACATTGATCTTCTCTTGTCGATACCATGCTCCCAGTGCACCGAGAACCGATGTGAGGATAGCCAGAGGAGCTGTCTTGGCTATAGGGCCAGTAGGTTTCTTCTTCTTTCGTCGGACAAGAGTAGATGTTCTCCCCGGCACTAACTGGCCATTTTGCTCGTCCTCTGCAAGCTCACGAGCAGCATCAGGAGTAAACTCTTCTGTCGTTGTAATGCCGTCTTCAGTGTCCGCAGACATTACTCTAGAGATAGGGAAAGAAACCGTCGACCGGGAAGGAGGCGAATCTTCTGGCTTCAGAGATGTAGACGATGTCAGTCCTCGCTTGGTGGTGGTAGTCGATGACAAAGACTTTCGGGATCGCGAAGCGGATTTGCGGCGATCTGATGCAGATGGAGGGCTCGACCCGGATTGAAACGGGTTCTCGTCTGAAAAAGGGCTGGTGCCTGTTTCGAGCGACTCCCTCTTCAGTCTGGCATCTGGTTCCTCGATCTTAACGGCCGGTTCCAGGACAGGCTGAGTGGGCGCACTCTTTCGTGGTCTTCGGACAGTCGACTTCGCTTCCTCCGGTTCGGTATGTTCAGTGTCCGATGCGCGGGGTGTCCGTGTAACACTCCGTCTACTAGGAGTTTTGGTTCTCTTAGAGGTGGACGGCGCTCGACCAACAGACTCTTCGCCGGCGAGGTCCGACTTGCTCTTCCTGCTGCGTGGTGTCCTCGGGGCTGGTGGAGGTGGCATCAGCTGTCTGTCATCGCCCTCGTCGCCAGATATCGTGCTTTCTTGGCTGCTGGGCACATCTGTTATGCCTTTGCTCGTGCGCCGGACTCTGGCTTGCGCCCTCAGTAATTTCTCCCTCTTCGGTAGCAGTTCATTCCCGAGGATCTCCAACAGCTGGCTTTTCTTTGCTGAAGAGGGATAATGGATGTTGTGCGCAACGAGGATAGACCGCAGGCGCGGGACGGTCAGTGTATTCAGGTCGAAGCCGGGTTGCAGATAATAGAGTTCATCCTCGTCGGCCATGTTTGCGACTGCGGCCACAGGTCGCTGGTGCGGTTACGGTTATGCGACTACTCAAGAACGGAAGAGCAGGTGCAGCCACCTTGATCGGTGGCGAGGAGTCAGATGGGACAAACTGAACGAAGGAAAATCAATTACCTCTGGTAGAGTGTTAAGATCAGGATTGTAAACAATGGCGCAGTGCTTGCTGAAAAAAGACCAATCAGAAGGCGGATAGACTAAGTCATGTGATCGGTATCGCGCGGATTCGGATGACGTAGCTGCAGTGGCAATTTGCCGGAAAGGCAGCAGCAAACACGATTGTTGAAGCTCTGAAGC